GCCGCAGGCCCCGTGCGGGCCGGCGCCGCCATCCCGCTGCTCTGCCCGTGCAGCCCAAGCATCGCCCTGTCCGGCCCAGCGCTGCCAGGGGGGGTGCGTCGCCCCCCCCCAGCACTGCCGCCCGCCCCGCCCTGCCCCGCCCCGCGGGGCCTTCTGGAGGCTCCCGGGCGCAGCTCCGAACGTGGCTGTGTGACCACGCTCTGCGTCTGCGGGGAACGATTCGGGTCACCCCGCGCGGCTCCCTGTCCTCTGGTTCGGGCCCAGCAGGCCCGCGTCCTGCCGCTTGTCATTTCACTGCCAAAGAGCTGGTAAAAATGCAGTCCAATGTCAGCTTCGCGCCTGGCTGCGGAGACCCGCGGGAATGCTGCTGCCCAGGGCCGTGCCCTGCCGATGGCCGCTGTCTCCGTGCTGTGCCCGTGCTGCCAGCAGCATGCAGCACGGTCCAGGCGTGGGGCGTCGGGAAACCGAGGCACAGGGCGGCCTGTCGTAGCAAAACGCAGCGAGGGGCACTAGCGAGTCCCCGTTGCTTGATTGTGCCCGTTTTGCAGCTCTGGGGTTGGGGCCAGGCTGGCTGGGCTGTCGCGCCTGGACTCGTTGCTGCCCATGGCCAGCACCCGCCAGCTCTCGCCCTCTCCAGACCTCTGGAGAGTCCCTGGGCTGAACGTGGGGAGTCAGGGGTCTTGGTCAGCTCCTGCATGCCCCTTGCAGAGCCCTGGAGGGGATGGGCGCAGATTTGTTGCTAGCAGACGCTGTTCAGCATGCTCCTGAGTCATGGCTGGCCTGGAAAGTCTTTCCTCGTCCCTGCGTGACCTGAGCACGTTGTCCTCCCAGAGCGGAAACAGCGATGGGTCACTTCTGCCTCGCCTGCCCTGTGCTGATCTCGCTGCCTCCGTCAGTAAGGGCTCTGCCAGTGCAGGGCTGCTTTCACTCCCCACACACTCTGCAAACAGCCTCCCTCTCGCAGTCCCCAAGCTTTTCTGGCCTTGGTCTCTTGGTTTGGTGTCTGTAGCTTCTCTTACCAATGGTCTCCCCCTCGTGATGCCAGCTGCCCACTGCCCCTCACCTGCATTTATTACAGGCTTGCTCAGGCGGTGGCACTGCGTGGCACTGCCAGTCTCCGGCCCTGCTGGCCAGTGGGACGGGCAGAGGGAGGTTGTGCAGGACAGCTCTGCCGGGCCGGGAAGGGACATGAACCAAGCAGAAGGCTGATTCAGTGTCCCCTCGCCCCCGCTGTCCTGAGCATTGCACAGAGCCTGCGGTGGCCCTGACGCATGTGCCTGTGTCTGTCTGCCCCTCCTGCAGGCCTATAACATCCATGTGAATGGCGTGCTGCACTGCCGGGTGCGCTACAGCCAGCTGCTGGGCCTGCACGAGCAGGTAGGGACAGGGGCAGCAGGGTGGGGGTGGAGCTGGGCATCCCTGCAAGATCAGGTCCCTCTGCCTCAATCGTGCTTCCTGCACTGCCCCCTCCCTGGGCTGATCCTGGGAAGGGTGGGGGAAGGTTGGGTCTGGAGGGGCAGCAAGCCATGAGCACAGACACATCCACCCACCCCCAGGGCAGCAGCTTTCCAGAGCAGCTCCCACCAGCCTCTGTGCTGCCATAGTACAGGCTGCCAGAAGGCAAGGGTGGGCCAGACCCCACGCAGCTGCACCCAGGGAGGCAGGAAGCACCTGGGGGCGTGGGGTGGTATGGGGCACCTGCCGAGCATTGTGGCTCTGCTGCACCTGGGCTTCTCGCCGCTCATGGCTCTGTGGCCTCTGTCTAGCTGCGAAAGGAGTACGGTGCCAATGTGGTGCCCGCCTTCCCACCCAAGAAGATCTTCACCCTCACGCCAGCTGAGGTGGAGCAGCGGCGGGAGCAGCTGGAAAAGTACATGCAGGCGGGTGAGCCCCCAATGCATGTGTACACTACCAAAGTGGCCCTGTGGCACAGAGCTGCCGGGGACAAAGTTTTCCCCTACACATGTGTGTACTACCAAAGTGGCCCTGTGGCACAGAGCTGCCAACCTGGCTGCATGGAAGTGCTGCTGGCAGATCTGGGGCCCTGCCTGCATTGGGCCACATCCATACAGGCTGCCAGTCCCTGCTGAGCTCTGTGCCAGGCCTCAAACTGGTCACGCCAGACACTGCAACTTCCTGAGCTCCCTTGAGGGAGGCTGCATCCAGCCGCCTCCAGGTGTCCAACCCACCTCTGCCCAGCACAGGCCGGGTCATCCCGGTGTAGTGGGGGAAGTGGTACCACGTGGACTCCATGCCCCACAAGCTCCGGGCAGCCACCTGACCCGACTCCCGCCTGCATTCATCCCCAGTGCGGCAGGACCCATTGCTGGGAGGCAGCGAGATCTTCAATAGCTTCCTGCGCAAAGCCCAGCAGGTGTGTGGGGCTGGGGGGCGCAGTTGTTGCTGCTGGGTGGGTGCCGGGTGTGTGAGGGGCTGGGGATGGGACATGGGGGTAGAGGGGTGCTGTGGGGGGTAGGCTGGGATGGGGGAGTTTCGGTGCTCACATACTTGCCCCGCTCTGCTGCCAGGAGACACAGCAGATTCCAACAGAGGAGGTGCAGCTGCAGGTGCTGCTGTCCAACGGGCAGAAGGTCGAGGTCTCCATCCTCACCTCGGACCAGACCGAGGATGTCCTGGAGGTACCAGATGGTTGGGTCCTGGGTCCTGGGCCCCACCTGGTGCTTGCTCCGCCTGCCCCATGGCTGCACTTGGGGGTCAAGGGCGAGAAGTAGGGCGCAGGCCCTGCACGGAACCCTGCCTCGGAGCTCTTAGTCCCACTTGAGGGCTGGAGCCTTAGGTGCGCTGGGCTGGCTGCCCCCTCTCCCTGCCTCTTTAGGCTCTGAGACCCTGGGGTGGCTGAGCTGAGTCCCTGCCCTTGCCCCTGCCCAGGTGGGCTTATGTCCAGGGCCCCGGATGCAGCTGCCCTCTCTCCCTGGTGAAGCCGGTGTCCAAGCCCACTCCCCTTCAGTGCCAGTGCCTCTCAACACGGGTACCATGGGCAGCCTGCCAAGCAGCTGCATGGGCGGGGGCAATCCCAGCACCTCCTGCTGACAGTGGTGCTCAGCCTTTGTCGCATGCCTGGCACTGTCCCTGAACAGCGGTGCGGTGCCCACAGACCCAGGCACCATGTGGAAGCCTCCCCACTTGGGGCAGCATGGCCCCTGGCATCCCCACAGTCTGTCTCACTACTGAGACCTGGTGACATGCGGCAGACACTGCTTCCCAGGGGCTGATGTGATCCCTCCTCCACCCCCAAGCCCAGACCTGAGGCCTGGGGCAGAAAGTGCCTAATCGTGGGGTGGGGCAGGGAGGGGCGGCCAGTGCTGCCTGTCCAGTGACCTCCTGCAAATGCCTCCCAGGCCACAGCCTCCAAGCTGGACTTGCCGGATGATCTGGTTGGCTACTTCAGCCTCTTCCTGGTGAGAGAGACCAAGGATGGAGGCTTTTCCTGTGAGTGGGGGCTGTGGGGAGGGGAGGGGTCCTGCCAGCCCCCCACGGGCAGCTCTGAGCACCGCTGTCCCGCACAGTTGTGAGGAAGCTGCAGGAGTTCGAGCTGCCCTACGTGTCCGTCACCAGCCTGCACAACCCTGAGTACAGGATCATCCTACGCAAGAGGCGAGTTGCACTGGGGGGTCCTGTCCTACCCCCGTCCCGCTGGGCACTGCTGGGGCCAGAGCATCTTGCCTGACACCTCTCAGTTCAGAGCAGATGGGCCACTCCTTGCCCCTGCTCTGCTAGGTCCCATGCTGCATCCTAGGGGAAACTCATCCCTCCCCACTCCAGCCATAGGCCTGAGAAGCCCTGGACCCCCCAGTCTTCCCCCACCCCAATCGACCCCTGCCCCTGCCAGACCTCCCAGCTCCCCTCCCCATAGACCCCTGGTTCCTGCCCCTCCCTTAGGCCATGCTGATGTGGTGGGGCAGGGATGGGGGGAGCAGAGCCAGGGCCACAGTGCTGGCCCCAGCCTGATATCCTGAGTACCTCTGGTCGCCCCCTGCCTGCACCGCTGAGCTGCGCTGCCTCCCCAGCTACTGGGACTCAGCCTATGACGACGATGTCATGGAGCACCGCGTGGGGCTGAACCTGTTGTATGCCCAGGTGAGTGCAGCCCAGGCTGGGGGGCTGCCTCCAGCTTGTTCTGGGCTGCCCCTGACTGGCCTGCCCCTCCACAGACCGTCTCGGACATTGAGCATGGCTGGATCCTGGTGAACAAGGAGCAGCACCGGCAGCTCAAGTCGCTGCAGGAGAAGGTCTCCAAGAAGGAGGTGGGTACTGCCATGGCCATCCGGGTCGTCTCCAGCTAAAGAGCGCCAGCCTGGCCCTGGCTGGACCTCAGGGGCAAGAGCCCAGGGTCTCTGGCTGCAGCATGGTACCTGAGGTGCTGGCAGGGAACTTCGAAAGCTCCAGCAGCCTGTGTGGGGCTAGGCCTGGCAAGGTGGAGCGGGGTGGAGCTGTGTAGGGCCCACGTTGACCCAGGGCCTGGCTGTCTCCCGCACACAGTTCATCCGGCTGGCGCAGACGCTGAAGTACTACGGCTGTCTCAAGTTCGACCCTTGTGTGACCGACTTCCCCGAGCAGGGCTGCCACGTCGTTGTCAGCGCCGGTAACAACGAGCTCAACTTTCAGGTGCGGCTGCCCAGCGAGCAGATCAAGGAAGGCAGCTTCAAGGTCACCCGCATGCGCTGCTGGCGCGTCACATCCTCGGTGAGTGAGTGCGCGGGAGGGGCCCGGGACCCATCTGCAGGCATCACCTTGAGGGCCACGGGGCCTGGAGTTCTGTGTTTCCTCCTGTGGCGCAGTCCCAGTCCTGACTGGGAGCCAGTCCCTGCCTGGCGCTGGGGCTCTGCTCGATGTCCCCATGATCCCAGCAGGGAAGGGGCAGCCCTGGCCTCATCCTCAGTCCTCACAGGTACCCACAACCAACGGCCCAGCAGGGAGCGGCCCGGGGAAGGCCGAGGTGAAGCTGGAGCTGGCCTTTGAGTACCTGATGAGCAAGGACCGGCTGCAGTGGGTCACCATCACCAGCCCCCAGGTACAGCCACGCTAGTGCCTCTGCAGAGGTAGTGGCTGGTGCTGGAGAAGGGGCTGCCCCTGTTTGCAGATTGTCATCTGCCCAAAGGACTCCCAGGATGATCCATTCTGGCCCCTGCACAGCCATGAATTCCACCCCCCAGGGGAAAAAATGCCCTGGCCCCTGCTGCATGTGGGGAGAAGGGGTCTCACCCCGCCATGGTGGCAGGGAACATGCTGGAGGGGGTTGCCCCTCCCCCAGCCCAGCCCTGCCCAGCTGACTTGAGTGGAGGGTGAGTCCGTCCTGGCCCCAGCTGGGTGACCGTTCATCCCTGGCTGTCTCAGCACCAGCAAGGACAGTTGTGGCTGATGCTCCAAAGGAAAGTGAGAACCTGGCACCTCTCAGCCCTGCCCCCACCTCCAAGAGCCAATAAAACATTAATGGTGGGGGGAGTTCCTTGCTGGCCTGGCCCCGTGCCCAGCCAGAGCCCTGAGGTGCGAGACTGCCAGGGCCTGTTCCCTTGCAGCCCCTCCTGGGGCTCCAGCCTGTCTGCCCTGTATGGGGCTCCAGGGACATGGTAGGTTTGCTCTGGGGCAGGTTCCCCAGCCCCCCACTGCCCTTGTCACCTTGCTGCACCAGTGCCCAGAGCCACACGTAGTCCCTGGTGCACTGGGTGGAGTGGGGCAGGGGGTCAGGCTGGCTGTGAATGTGGCTCTTCTCAGGCCATTATGCTGAGCATCTGCCTGCAGTCCATGGTGGACGAGCTGATGGTGAAGAAGTCTGGAGGCAGCATCCGCAAGGTGAGAGCCTGGGGGATGGGGCTGGGGGCTGCAGCTGGCCCCCACCAACCCCAGGAGATCTGGCTGCCAGGAGCAACCCCATGGCTCATGGGCAGGGACTTGGACTGAGTGGGGATGGACACCTGGGGCAGTCATAGCAGGAACCCTCTGTGCAGGGAGGGAGCCCCTTTCCCTGCTGAGCCTTTCCCGCCCTCCCCAGATGTTCCGACGCCGAGCGAGTGGGGGGCTGCGGCGCTGTGACAGCCAGCAGGCCGTGAAATCACCCCCACTGCTGGTGAGTGCTGCCTCACCCTGGCCTGCCCCTGCCCCCCAGTGCCCACCCCCACCTGAGTGTCTGTCCGTATCCCTGCAGGACTCTCCGGATGGCAGCAGGGAGCCCATAGCCAAGCTCTCGGTGAGTCACTGGGGCTGGGGGGATGGCAGCATGGGCTGGGGCCTGCAGGGGGTGGATTTTGGGGCTGGATGTAATGCGCACCCTCACCTGCAGAGCAAGCTCAGTTCCGTCAGCCTCCGAGGGATCAGCCACTCCAGCTCTGCTGGTGATGTTGGCAGCAACGACTTCCACGGCAACTATGCCTTTGAGGGCATCGGCGACGAGGACCTGTAGTCACCCAGTGCTGTGGCCACCCCTAGGAATGTATGACCTGCTGCTGGGTCGCCCTCCATGTGCCTCTCACCTGGGGACCATCCTCTGCCCCCCGGGGACATGGGGACCTTGTCCTCCTGCCTGCCGCTGCCTTTGGGCAGGGACGGCCTTTCCCTGCTGCTGCTGCTGGTTCTTGAGGGGCCCAGGCAAGGTCATGGCTGCTCCATCTTGGGGCAGGGGCAGCAGCAACAGCAACCAGAGGTGTCCCTGGGCGGAGCCAAGCCAGGGCCCCCCTGCCCCAGGCCTGCAGCCCTGGACCATCGCTTGCACTTAGAGCCAGTCCCCACACGCTGCCGGGGCGGGAGGGGTGAGCTGGGCCCCTGCCCCCCCATGCCAAACTAGCGCATAGGTCTCTGCATACGGTGCGACGGCTGGGCCGGGCCAAGCTACCCCTGCAGTGCCTGCCCGCCCCTGCCTCTGCCTCTGTTTGTAACTCGCACGCGCTGCTGTTGATGGATGGTCCAGGGCCCTGCATTAACAGACATTAACCGATGTTTACACGGCAATGGCAATTAAAAGCAGATTCTGATTGGTAACGGGCTGCATTCGGCTTCTGGGACTGGGGGGGCCCCACAAAAATGCATATTGGGGAGGATCCATTCACCTGCTCACTCTGCCCCTGCACCCATGTCTGGCTTCCCCAGGGAGGCAGCCCAGGTAACGAAACTGACAGTTTAATGCTTTCATACACAATATAAATTACACAGAATTGAGTGGCAACCGCAGCTCAGGGGCAAGTGCCAGCTGGGAGAGGGAGGTCAGGCCTGTCCCATGAGGTCCATGGCTGCTCTGAGCTGCAGCCCCTACCTCCAGATGAGAGTTTCCCTGGTGGGGGGCAGGCAAGGGTGTAAGCCCCGTGTCCTTGGCCTTAGGCCCTGAAGGGATGGCAGGGGGTTGGTGGTGACAGGACCTGCTCCTGCTCTCCCCCCACCAGGAGGGGCTGCAGGGCAGGGCCTGCCGTGTGACTGGGTCCTGCTCAGTCCACAGAGCCCCCCTCCAATCTGAGGCCTTGCAGCTCGGCTGTCTGTCCTTCTGGCCTGGTCCCAGAGCAAGTGCCCCCAGGGGAAGGCTGGCCCCCACTCTGCTCCCACCAGGCTGGGCCAGACCCAGACTGCCTCGGCCCCAGCAGGCAGCAGAGTTCCCGTGTGGCAGTGCCTGGCCTGGCTGCAGGCCACCCTAGGGGAGGGGGGCACCCGCAGGTGGCGGGGTGAGCAGGGCCTTGGTGCTGCGGGGGTTGACCCAGGTGTCGGCAGCGTGGCCGTGGATCTTCTGGTGGCGCTTGTAGTTGTCCCAGTGGCCAGTGGTGTAGGGGCAGTCACGGCACTGGAAGGGCTTCTCGCCCGTGTGACGCAGCATATGGCGCTTGAGGTTCATGCTCTGGTTGCAGCTGTAGCTGCAGAGGCCGCAGCGGAAGGGCTTGTCCCCAGAATGGATGCGGCCGTGGCGCTTGAGGTTGGCCAGGTTGCCGCAGGCATAGTCGCACAGTGCGCACTTGTAGGGCTTCTCGCCTGTGTGCACGCGCTGGTGCCGCTTGAGGTTGTCCAGGTGGGCTGAGGCATAGGGGCAGAGTGGGCAGGCGAACGGCTTCTCCCCGCTGTGCGTCTTCATGTGCCGTGCCAGGTGGTTGGGGTAGTGGGTCACGAAGGGGCACAGGCTGCAGGCGAAACCCTTGGCTGTGCCGGGGCGGGGGCCAGTGCCTGACTCAGCATCCAGCGCTGCCAGGCTGCAGCGGGCACAGGTTGGCTCAGCCAGCCACTCGTCCGGCGCCAGCCCGTCGTCTAGGGCCAGCCCGCAGGCCCGGCACGTGAAGGGGAAGAGCAGCTCAGGCAGCGTGCCCGCCTCGGCCCCCCGCAGCCGGGCGCAGCCAGGCAGGAAGGGGGCACCCGCGCCCGCCCCATGCAGGCTCAGCTCCGGCAGCAGCGGCTCTGCGGGACCAAGCACAGTAGTGCCTGCCAGAGGGGAAGTGAACCACTGGCTTACCCACACCAAGCCCCTGCCCCTGCAGCCTTCACCCAAATGCCCCTGTTCTGCCCAGTGCTATGGGGGGGGAGGGGCCATGGCACACCCTGTCCCAGGGTGCTGGGTAGGTCCCGTGTGCACAGTCGGGTCCAACACACAGAATAACTGACCGGCTGGCTGATGGACAGGCAGCTCCCGTCTCCCCAGCAGGGACTTGCCCTAGAAGCCATTGCCTAGCCAGGACCTGCCCAGATAACAGAGATGGGGCTACCCCCCTCCTTCACCCCCACCCCAGGTCCCTCCAGCACAAGGGTGAGAGCAGTGCGCCCTTACCTTGGGGCTGGTTGTGTGGGCGCGTTGCCCCCTCAGGTGGGCGGTGGCTGAGCATGTGTCTCTTGAGGTTCCGGCTCTGGTTGCAGCGGTAGGCGCAGGCGCCGCAGCGGAAGGGCTTGTCTTGGCTGTGGATGCGCTCATGGCGCTTGAGGTTGCCCAGGCTGCTGCAGGTGAAGCCGCAGCCCCCGCAGTGGTAGGGCTTCTCGCCTGTGTGTGTGCGCAGGTGCCGCGTCAGGTTCACCAGCTGAGCCGAAGCGTAGTCGCACTGTGGGCACTGGAACGGCTTCTCCCCATTGTGAGTCTTCATGTGGCGCTTCAGGTGGCTTGAGTAGTGTGAGGCAAAGGGGCAGAGCTGGCAGGAGTAGACCACGCGCTGGCCCCGGCCCACTGCTGCGTCCGCGCCTGCCGCACACTGCAGGCAGCTCTGCCCCAGGCCAGTGCCCGGCGGCCCCCCATCCACATCGCCCTCCTCAGCCTCACTCTCCACGCTCAGTGGCTGATAGCCCGAGGAATAATCATCGTCACTTAGCGAGTAGGCTGGCATGGCGATCTTCCCCACCAGTGAGTCTGCTGCAAACAGACCAGGAGAGGGTCAGAGCCATACGGCTGCTTGCCCACCCCTGCACACATGCCCAGCACGTCCACCCCTGCCCAGGAATCCTCTTCCCTGCTGCAGCGACCCGTTATGGCTGGCTGAGCTGCTCCCTGGCCTGGGGCAGGGAAGAAGCTAGAAGTGTGAGAAGCTGGATGCTGAGCCTGGAGACACATGAAGGGAAATGCTGCTGGGGACCACAGGCAGCAAGGGCTACGCTGCACAAGAGGAGTCTTGAGGGCTGGGAGCAGCAGCTTGGGGGACTGAACTGAGAGTCAGGGATGGCGGGTTAATTAGGCTTCTCAGGAGCTTCCCCATCGGGACAAGCCTTGGGAAGCAAAGCCCCTCAGGTTGACTCAGTTAGGAGCTGTGAGGCCTGGAGCAGCTGAGTGCGCACCAAGCAGGTGCAACAGCAGCAGTGTTGGGGGGGTGGGGAGGGTGGGTGCCAGGCAGTCCATGCCATAGGTCAGCAAGTGAGGACTGACCCTGCTCCAGGGAGCTGGAGCCTACAGGAAAAGGGTGCGTAAAAGGGCAGGGCCCACTGGAAGGACCATCCTGGGGCCACAGGACCTTGGGGCACCCGAAAGTGCCACGTGCCTGTCCCAGGAGCCTTCTCCTGCAAGACATGGCAGGTAGGCGAGGGCCGACAGCCAGCAGGCAGCCACCACCCCATGACCCTGGGCCTGCTACAGCACGCATCTTGGACTGCACCTGCCAGAAGAGGCCCGTGCCCATCACCTCAGCATCTGGCCAGACACCTTGGCACTGCCGCCTCCCCACCCCCCGAATCAGCACAGCCAGCTCCTGCCGTGCTTCATGTGGCCGCTAGAGGGCAGCAGGGGCCAAGGGCGATGGTCAATTCTGGAGCAGGACCCCCACCCCTGCCCCCAGGGTCGTGCCCAGATGGGACCATGCCAGGTCCACGGGTGCAAAACATCCTCCTGGGCTTTGGGACCGCCCCCACCAGCACCACAGGAACAGTCGCTCCCCTGAGCTGCATCCTGCCGGGGCAGGCGTAACAGGCCTGCTCCAGGCTGGCCATGGGGACAGGCCTCTGGTGGCCTCGGGTTTCCCTGGGGTCAGTTGTGTGAGGGCCCAGCGGGAAACCGCTCTGGACTGGAGAATCCACCGGGCAGCAGCAGAGGCTGCCCCAGGGCTGGCCAGCCCAAGCCGTAACTGACAGGCGTAGCTCTGTCCTGACACCCCCCACCTCCGAGGCCTGGGCCTGGGGTCAGTGCTCTGCAAGGCACACGCCTACCTCACCTGTAACCCCACAGCCACATTCCTACTGCCTGGGAGAGGCTTCTGCCCCCGGCTGTGCCCTGCACTCAGCTGCTGGCTGCACATCCGGCAACTCTCCAAGCTGCTGAAGCTACGCTGGTGTCTGTGCACCCAGCTGTCATCGGCTCCATGTGCAGGGGCTCCACATGGTCACAGACAAGGCCTGACAGAGCATGAAGGACCTGGGATCTCCTGCCCACACCCCCCACCCCAGCTCCCCAAGCTCTCAGTGGCAGCGCAGGCTCTGCATGCCACTGGGTTCAGGGGCACAGGCAGAGGAAAGCTGCCCTGCAGCCAGGGCCCGACAAGGTGAGCTCTGCAAGAGCTGCTCCAAGGCGCTCGGAGGTGGGCGTAGATGGTGGTCCTGCTTCAAGACAGCTGGGGCTCAACTGCTCGAGCGCAGATACTGCAGCAGCTTTCAGCCACCCAGGGCGCAGGGTATTCTCCCCTGTTGGGCCTGTCCCACCAGAAGCAGGGGGAGGGGGAGTGGGGGTGTTCAGGGGCAGCTGCATCCATGCATCACTCTCTTCCTTCCCTGAGCAGCTGCAAAGCCCTGCCCCCCCGGGGCCACACACAGCACCACAGAACCAGGGCTGAGGGGACCGTGAGGGAAGGCTGTCTGGGGTCCAACCCCTGCATGGATGCAGGACGCTCCTCCCAGCCCATCCCTGCCAGCGCTGATCGGCCTCCCCTCGGGAACTCCAGTGAAGGAGTCAGCACCACCACGAGCTCGCTCACCTCCTGTGGCCCCTCCGCACACGGGGCCTTGAGGTGCAGGCAGGCAGCACCAAGACAAATGCCAGAGGCAGACGTGTGGTGCTGGGGCTTCTCGCCCCGGAGTTGGGTGGGGAATACAGGCCCCAGCAGGCCACGCGCTGGGGAGAAAACCCCAGGGCAGATGCAGACGGCACCGGTCTCAGCTCCATCCCAGCCACTGCCTCGGAAGCTGCCTCCCCCACATCCCTCCCAGCCCTGCCTCCCTTGCCCCCCGCCACGCTGCTGGGGGGAAGTGGGCCAGAGCCGGCTGCACCGGGGCCCTCACCAGACGCCCCGACAGCGGCACGGGGCAGGGGGGGCAGAGCCCTGGGTGCCCGAGGGACCCTGGCGCGCTCGTTTCCTGCCTCCCCCGACGCTCTCGCCTGGAATTTCCTGAGCTTCTGAAAATGAGAAACAGACTCCGCCACATGCCAGGCTGCCAGGCCAGCGTGTGGCACCCCGCCCCGCGCCGCCCCGGGGCACCCAGGACACGGCTCGCAGGAGGACAGGCCACGGCTCCCAGGCAGCCGCCCGCAGCGCTCCCCGCACCTTGCGGGCGCCGCGCGGACCCTTGGGCAGAGCTCGGGGCTCCAGGGAGCGAGACCGCCCGGCTGCCCCCATCCTGGCCACGCAGCGCCCCAGAGCCCCGCCCCGCCCCGG